GCAAACATCACTTGTCTAGTGAGAAAGTGCCTTGCCTTCGTACACTGTATATTCACCATCATACTTTATTCCAACAGGAGTGCATGAAACATTTGGAAATTTGAGAAAAGTCACAAAAAGAGGCGCAGTTTACTGTGCATTCTCCGTATCCTTGTTGAAATCGCACGCACTGGAATAATAAAAAAAAAACACTCGTTGTGGTCATGACGAGTAGACCCCTCCGAACTCATCAAACACCAGTGTGCTTCGTGTGGTCAGGATGGGATTCTAACACAGTTTCCTCATTCGTCTTGCAGTTTCACGGCTTGCAAATGGTCCCAATTATCAAATGCACTTGGCATCTGGTTGATCAAATGCAGTGGTACCCTACAAAGCCGGCCGGCACCAAATTTAGCGCTTGGTGCACAGAATAGGATATAGTTTAGGTCAATGGCTGCATTCATCCCCCCCCCCCCATATATCCACAACCATGATGCAGTGGCGTGTCCAGGATTTGGCTGAGGAGGGTCGCGGTCGGGGAGATGACATGGTGCACATGACTGTAATGATCTATGTCACGCATTCTAGCTATCCAACATTACAAAATGATTACATGCCAGGTATTTCTTCCAGACCTACACTATACAGATTAAAGTATCTCATGCTCAGTTACTACAGTGCGTATCGGTTATAGCGTGGTCGTGTAAAAGAATATACTACTTACAAGAATGAACTCTCATATTTTCATTATCATAACATGGGTTCAACTTTCAAGTGAACATTAGTTCTTACTTCCTCCGCATCATTAAAATTGCCGCTTCCCAGAGCGATTTTTCGAATTTATTTTGTCCACTCGAAGGGCAAAGAAATCAGCTAGAAATTGAGGCAGGGCATTGTCGACGGACCAAGCTTTAGTTTGTGGCCTCCCGCTTCGCTGCACTTGCAGCTAAGGTCGACGTCTTCATCAGAGTTTAGGGCAGGCCCTTCAGCACTCAACAATGTGCTGAACAAGACGTGCGTTCAAATTCAGGTAAAGAAACTTCGTTTTCAAGCGATCCATGCCTCCAGGTGGCGTTTCAGGCAGGCGATGAAGGCAAGCTAGCATTTTTCAAGTGCACTGTAACGACCATCCAGCGGGATAGGGTAAGTAGTTCCGCAACTTCTTTCCTTGGCAAGCGCTTCGCTAATTTTGTTGGTGTTTTCAGACTTGCTACCTTCGTAGCAACATGCGACACAAGTAGCGCATTTTAGGAATTAGAGAACACTTTGTTCTTGCAATCGTCAACTTCAGCATTTCGTATTCAGGAGAGATACCAGGATTCTTATACCCGAGCTTGCAGTCTTGATAAATACCCACGCGAACGATATGGGACGGCACGAACTCTAGAAAAACGATATGCGCTCTGGGGCGGAAGAGTGCAGAGCACGATGAATTTGCTTGGTGCGGAAGAGAGCTCCGACAAAGTCCGAGACCACCACGGCTTCAGTAACAAGTAGAGATTGCGCAGGAAGGGTCGCACCAATGCTCGAACACAGAAAACAGCGATTCCGACAGTCTGATTCCGACAGTCTGACTAAGACGAGCCAAGTCACAAACATTGCGATGTGCGCAGCGACAATTTTAATGACGCGGAGGAAGTACAAGCAATGTAATCGCATTGTAGAATATGTCGGTCCTAAAGCTGTGTTCACAACTGGCGCGTGTACGCGGTACGCTTGCGGTTCATGCGTGCCCAAACGCGCGCTCAGGCTTTCAAAAAAAACCAGCAATCCGAGTCGTATTTAGAGCGTGCGACACCTTCGAGTACTAATTTTTTGACCCCGCCAGTCAAGGTGACTGGCATGTACGCTGGTACGTGCCTGATACGCGTTGAAAATTCCAACATGTTGGAAGTTCCATTCCGACGCGTTTCCGTACGCATGGCGCCCCAAAAGCCAGCAAAATACGCACAAACACGTGGTTTCACGCGTACACGCGCCAGTTGTGAACACAGCTTAACCCTTTATGTACGGTGTGTACACGAATCGATCACATATGATCGATTCATGATCGATCCGTAAAACCTTCGTAACTCCATCATGTCTTGTCCGAATTCAAAAATCGAAGGGTCTATTCAGTAGCGGAAACTCGAAGCTTTCCAATGCAACAATCGCCGAAGAGCTACGATGTACGAATCCAGAGATATTGGGCGCCGTATCTTGTATCGGCAAATTCAAATTTTTTATCGATCTCTTCGCCATTTTAGGGGGAAATCCCTTTTCGTGTGCTCTTTGACCAACTCAGCACATGATAATGACGTAGTTGGCTGTAGTTTGAATCGCCTCGAAAAGATTTGAGCGTTCTGCGATAGAGGAGAGTGGAATGGCGTTGATCTGGAAATTTGCTCGCATATTGGGCTTGGAGACGACTTTGATGTGTTCCTGTGCCTGATTTGTGGCAGCTAGTTGATGGACCCTGGTATCCTCGCGTTGCTCTCGCCAGGAGCTTTCCAAAGAGCCCAAGATTGTGGAATTGGAGCGAAGGAGGCCAAAGTTATAGCCTGTTGAAGGTGAAAATTGTGCTGAAAATTCAAATTCTGCTTCATTCTGTGCTGGAAATCAGTACATAAAGGGTTAAGAATGGAATTTGTGTAGCAAAACGTACCAGATTGGTACAAAGTGTATCGCCTGTAGATGAGTGTAGTAATAACATCTGTCCAATGCAGTTCTGCTCCGACTCGCATTGCATTGTAGTGCTCCAGGTTCAACTGTTCTTGTCATGTATCTCATGCTGCATAGCCACATGGCAAGCGTATGGGACTATGAACACCCACATGCACAGCAGAGATACGTTGTATGTATGATGACCATCCTGTATCTGCGCACATGCATCTGATATGTCACACTTGACTTATCGCGAGTAAGAAATATTGCAAATAAGAAAAGAAAGTCGTTTTTCAAACACCCACGCTATAACCGATACCTACTGTACATTGTACAATCATCAGTCATGTTACTTGTACAGTGCATCCTTGCCCAATTTTTATTGGAGCATATCATGCTGTTCTTCATCATGTTTTGGCTGCTCACTGACAACCGGTACTGGTACCTCCGCGTCGGGCGGAATGTCAGTTCGTTCCGAACTGAACTGGCAACGACTTGATCACTCCCACTGTTTCCTGTTGGAACAGGAATTGCGCCGTCGCAAGAACGCTTTGCAAAAATCCATCAAGGCTCTGCTGGCCAGAGCTTGTCTTCTTTGGTCCATGGATGTCGCTGAGACTTCGCAGAAAAGTCTTCAAGTCAACCAATTCGCGATTCGAATCTGGAGGGGATCATCCTCAAAACAACGTTGTACACCGTTGCGAAAAGAGGCGCTTGACGATCACAAGCTTTGGTTTTTTTCCCACTTGGGCAGCGCTGCGTTCAGCACATCACTGCACGCCTTTCTCAAGACGCATCGAGCGCGTCCTGGAATCTGTACAAAAGTATAGAGCTCGTACAGAGTCGATCATTTCTTTCACAGTGCAATCAATGCCGCTCACACACCGACGGTCCATGCAACCGGTTTTGGACGCTGCTTCCCACCGCGTAGAGTCTACCGCCTGTGCACATGGTGCATGTAGCAGCCTGGTGTTTTTTCAAACCCAGGTCGAAATTTTTTTAGGGGGGTGGGAGCGTGCCCCCCCCCCCCCCCCCCCCGTAAACCCGCCAATGCCATGTGATAGGGACCATTAGCAAGCCGTGAAACTGCAACGCGAAGGGGGAGCTGGGTTAGAGTCCCGTCCTGACCACGCGAAACATACTCGTGTTTGATGAGTTCGGAGGGGTCTACTCGCCATGACCGCAACAAGTGGGTTTTAGTCAAGTACGTGCGAATTCAACCATGAAGCGGAGAATAGCACCGTAAATCGCGCCTCTTTTGGTCTTTGCGATTTTCTTCAAATTGCGAAAATGTCTCGCCCATTCTTGTTGGAATAAATACGACGGCGAAACGTACCAAACAACCAGTAGGACCATTGATTTTGGCATAACCGTTACTAACATGACACAGGACAGGATCGAGGGTAACCACAGTGCCAAAATTAATGTTTGTTCAAGACAAACTTCAGCTTGCTCGCTCATTTATGTTTTGGCATGGACCTCGTGAACACAACCCTTTGCTGCACCAATCCATCGGAGATGTGGGTGTCATGGGGTTTCTTTCACTTTCATTCGGGTAAAAAAAAGTCAGGCTGAGAATTGTTCTCAAGGAAAAGTTCGCAAAAACAATTGCCAGTAAGATATCAGAAAACTGTTTGAAACTGGAAAGCAGCCGACTCGCGTAGACGGGTTGTGAACGCGAGAAGCTAATCCTCAATCACGCCGTGTTTCACGTGCGTTACGATGAACTCGTTCCCGTTGACGTTTCAAGGCTTGCTAACGGTCCCTAATAGTCCCCCCACCCCCCCCCCCCCCCCCCCCCCCCCCGTTCAATCTCAGGCTGGCTATGACCATGGAGACAATATCGTTATTTCGTACTCGGACCCCTCCCCCCACTCTGAAACGAACGCAGCTTGCTATGCTGGACGACGATAATCGCATGCATATACAAGTACAATGTACAGTGTCAGTCGAGTTGTGATTTTGGCTCACACAACCTACACCCCCCCCCCCCCCCAAAAACGAATGTTCGTTTCAGAGACAACAAAAACCTTTTGCGACGACCCCTAATGAAAACTGTACAAGCTCACGCGCCCACAGACTCGTAGTACACGCCCCGTACGGTATGACTCATCATCTCCAGAAAAGTCAACAAAACAAAACATTCCGCCATGGCCAGACCAAGCGGAGTTACACACTCTCGTGTTTATGTACTCTTGATCTCATGGACAGCTGTACAAATGTAGGACATGATGGTGGTAGGTGCACCTCACGTGACTCACGTGACACCTAGTCACTGCATAGTTCAACCAATCAAATGTATGACACGCTGTAATGTTTACTGTAGACACACAGTACATCTAAATTCAGTCACTCACAGTCAAGTCTACTGTACATACCTTCGCACTCTCGTGATCCACCAGCAACTGCACACATCCCTCATGATTCCTTTCCCTGGCTAGGTCCAACGCTGTTCTCCCTCCCTGAGTAACTCAGCAACACATCACAGGAACAACAGAAAATCAATTTTGAGAAAATTCGTTCCAATTTTACAAAAACGAAAACACAACGAAGGCCAAGGACATAATCTACAACGAGGCGAAATCAATCTCTCCACAAGACGACTTACATGTACAGAACAAGTCTCTCCTTCCTCAGCAACATTGCTACTCCATGCATCCACAGCAAAAACTCCAGTTCATACCTCGACAAATTTGAATTTGTTTTACAGATTTCTACTCGAACGAAAATATCCACGACGAGAGGAAGGCGTCCACAGCGCCTGCTCCACGTCAGGAACAACTGCATGTCTTCTGCGTACTCGTTACAATAACAACAACCCTTCACTCCTCACTCGTTCCAACAAACACCATCAAACAGTCTACTCCTTCACACACTGATTTCGAATTCTTCAAAAATTGAACCACGGAGTGAATATGACCACGTGGCGATATTGTACGCATGATGTCATCGAATACGGTATTGTACAACTGGTACACATTTCTGACAAGAGGAGAGGAGAGTTGTGGTACTGGTAGTCGTGAGAGAGAGAGAGAGCAAGGGGCAGAGAGAGAGAGGCAGGACAGGTGAGAAGGACGAGTAGAAACTGTTCACTTCACAACAACACACTATCAAATACTTACCCTGTCACGCAGTGTGGTATCCAAGGTGACACCGTCACTGTCATGTGACAGCATCACCTTGACAACGTTCATCTTCTCATTGTGGACTACATAGTGAAGTGGAGTCCATCCCTGTAGTGTAGAGAAAGAGAGAATGTGATGAGTATTGCTATACAACCATTACACTAACTACTACAACCACACACCGACACAGACCTGGACAACTAGAACAAACGCATCAACACACATACACATACACACACACACACACACACACACACACACACACACACACACACACACACTCACATGTGCGCTCGCACACACTCACACACATACGCACGGGCGCACATACACATACACACGCACACACACACATCGTCATGCACATACATGTACACACATGCAGATGTACATACACACGTGGACATACAAACAGAAGGACACACATGCAGAAGCAATGAACAGATTGTCTTAGAGACACACAGATAGACATGTAGGAACATACAAACTGAGAATTCAGTTGAGACAACCAGACTCTAAACTATCACTAGTTCTTACGAAGCCGCTGTCCTGCACATTGACATCAGCTCCACGTCCGATGAGAATATTTGCTAGTCGATCATTTCCATACATTGCACAGTAGTGCAGTAGTGTCCGGTTTAACTGTACACACACACATACACACACACACACACACACACACACACACACACACACACACACACAAATTCACAGGCACACACACACGCACACACACACGCACACACACACACACATACACGCACACACACACACACACGCACACACGTGCACACACACACACACAACACACACATACACGCACACACACACACACACACACACACACACACACACACGCATACACACACACACACACGCACGCACGCACGCACACACACACACATACGCACACACACAGGCACAAGTGCGCGCACACACACATACATATACACACACATGCACGCGCACACACACACACACACACGCGCGCGCGCACACGCACACACACACACACAGGCACATGCGCGCATGCACACACACACACCCATACACACACGCACACACATGCACGCACACACACACGCAAGCGCGCACACACACACACACACGTGACAGACACATACACACACATGACAGACACCCAGTCAGTTGTACATACCAATGACGCAAAGTCTTGGGGCATGTGGACAGACGGATGCAATTTACAGTGCAGGGATACAGAAACACAGGAGCGAAGCGTCAGGCAGACAGGCAGACAGACAGACAGGCAGACAGACAGACAGACAGACAGACAGACAGACAGACAGACAGACAGACAGACAGACAGACAGACAGACAGACAGACAACAGACAGACATACAGAACAACCATGACAAACCTGAACAGTACTGAGTCTTGTAACAATCAAGAACACAACAACTTACAGTTTTGTCTTGCTCATCCATCTCTACACTATGTACACTAAATATGTAGTGTACAATAGTGCAGAGGATTTCATCATGAAGATGATGCGGACCCTCCAAGCAGATCACAAAAAGGAGCATTGTCTGTGTGATATAAAAAACAGAAAAAACGATTTGACAATTACAAAAACGACAGCAACAATACTCTCAGTACAATGCCATCAGGAGTTAGGAAACCTACTGATTGACCTCAGGGGTCAGCGATCCAAACCAGACAAATTGCCATAACTTTATTCCAGCTTGAGAGAAGCTTGCAGCAATTGCACATCTTGTAAAGGTATGTCACACCAACGATTCCCACTGGTCAACAATCACTTGACAATGGTACAGACAAGAAGACCAGGTGTCACAGAAAACTCCCCCCCCCCCCCCCCACACACACACTGTACAGCAACACTCTACTTACTCCCATTGAGTAGCAGCGTGTCCCAAAGAATGGGTATGAGTATGATGGTGGTGTCCATGTCACTTTACGTGATGTGGAGGACAATTGCGACTGCTCAGGAGGCACAGCAGCCTGAAGACTTTCCAGTGTGGCACCCCGTCGCCGCACCTCTCGAGCAAACCCTTCTACTTCTTGACTGGACATGTCTGTACAGGGACAATGCGTACGCAACACAGACACACAGACAGACAGACACAGATGGACAGACAGACAGACAGACAGACAGACAGACAGACAGACAGACAGACAGACAGACAGACAGACAGACAGACAGACTGCCACACACATGCTCACACACGACACAGATAATCACACATGCACACACAAACACACACACACAGACGCAGATGGACAGACAGATACGAACAGACGGACAGACACACATACAGATGGACAAGGGGACAGAAAATAAGAGGTAAGAAAGACAACAAGTACTCCCATACTATGACATACACAATGATCCAAACAAGATTGATCTCACATGTCAATACTTGCATCTACACTGATGCGTACGCACACACACACATACACACTCATCATGACGTCATAACCACACCATATTTAGAGTGGAATAACCTTTGACCCCACGTCCACTGACGTGCAGCTACGTCAGTCAATGACTGTGTCAGTAGCTGAAAAAGGTGAAGACGATCAATGAACGACATCACGGGGACATCTTCACAACACACTGCAACACAATGCAATTTACCCGTCTCAGCAAAACCACAGAAACCACCGACAAATGTTACACCTCATTACTACAACTGCCTACGACAACTATCAACGAAAGAATACTGCTCTCCACCTCAAACAACTCCAACTCTCGTACCGTTGACAACAAAGAAGAAAACGCCAGTTCGAAGAAAGGTCCCCACACAAAATGAATGGAACAACTTCAACTTCAACTTGACAAGCACGGACAGTTACAACAGCAAACACTTGATATTTGAACAATCTTCATGTCGATCGCAACTAGAAATATCTATACATCCTCTTGCTCGTCAAGTCTACCTTCGTTACAAAGAACTAAAATGTACTTCGTCTACAAGAGGTCAATCAGTAGGTCCCTGAATGGCCGTCACGTTGCGACACGAGACAAGGACAAAGGTGGAGACCAACGAGACGACATTACTAACGAAAATATGGGAAGTAGACGAAGAGAAAGAGATGGAGTGCCTCCATTTGTAACTTACATTCCTTGTTGGAGAAACGTTGATGACAGTGAAAACGATCTACTTTTCTCTTCTTTCTCGCTAAGTGTAGGAAACATGATGAACTTCTCTGGTCTATTGAGAGTTCTGAAAATGGTCTATTCAGTTTCTAACTTGCCATACGGATAAAGTCACCGTTGAACTTCTCATAGACGAACATGACTACAAGTAGTGAGTCTAAAGGGAAGAGCTGAATTGAAGAAAGTCATCCTTGCCGTTTGCTAAACTTTGCCTTCAAGTAGCAGTGAAGAGAAAAGAAGAAACTTGACGCGGAAGTCCGGAGGGCCTACGCCTGCAAGAAGGTATTCAGCTGCTTGACGGAATGGTGTAGCGAAGGAGTAACTCACTGTTTGAACTTTGGACTTTGATCTACAGGTCATGAACCGCTACTGAACGATCCACAGTTAAGTTGCTAACTAGACCGATAAGATGTAGCACTCAGTGCGAGAACAAGGTCAGGGAGTGAATCGAATGATTCAGTCGCTAACGTTAGCAAATACACCCTTTATGTCAACCAGATCAGTCAGTGCAGTACCTGACGCATTTCTACCAAGCATGTGCACACACGCTAGCTCTCAACCGTGTCACTCAGCCTGATGACCTAGCTCTGGAGTAGGCATAGTCACAATGTGCAATATCAGTGATACTATTGCTGTAGGGGGATTTCAAATAGACCTATAGCACATGATTGTATTTTTACTTACTGAGTGAGTTGTCCGTTCCTTTAAAGATCTTCTTCAAACGTTGGCTGAGTGGGCTGACTGGAATAAGTAGGTCGTTGAGAGAAGGAGAGCGTTATGCTGAACTTGTTGTTCACTGAGACAGCGTTATGCTGAACTTGTTATTCACTGAGAGAGCGTTGTGCAGAACTTGTTATTCATTGAGAGAGCGTTGTGCTGAACTTGTTACTCTCTGAGAGAGCGTTGTAGCCACTACAGACTGATTATTAGTTGAGAGAAAGAGTAACAATGACTGGAAAAGATAATGCACCACTAACAAAGGTAGGTCAGAGGGACTGTTCAACAACACTAGAAGACGTTTGAAACAAAAGAGATAGGCAGGGAGACGAAAACGGACAACTGGACTGTGCCTTGAGAAATGGATGACTGAGCGGTGCTGACCAAATAGCGATGTGATCTGATGTTTGAACGAATCATGCATCACATGCATGTGGTAAATGGCAGGACATGCTCACTGTCTGGCAGACCACGGACGGCCATCTACTCATACATTACTAATACTGCTTTAGCTTTGTGGCTGTGTGCCTTAGCGCGAACTCATGCAGGCATCTTTTGTTCGCAGCACTGCGTGTGTGTCAGCGTGTTGTCACGTGATATGCTACACGTCCGCACGATGTCGTCCCGCTAGCGCTCTGCACAGACCGAGACCATACAAATGTGTTGTTTACCTGGTCATTGGTGACAAGAATCACATTCACACATGTAGACTACACACATAATGGGGGACCTACCCCATTACCACATAACAACACTACCTGGAACCAATCACGATTCAATGCTACGCTTTTCTCATCAAATATGGACAAAGAGCTGATGACATCATGTCTTAGGGCACAGTCCCATACAGACCAGGGTGGTGTTGGTGTTGTCAATCTGATTGTCGTGAAATTCTAATAATTTATAACTGGTTGTTGCCAAACACGTGTCGTCATAACGACATGACGTCACTGAGCAACTTGACAATGTAGACACTGTAGTAGCTGCTTGTGTGTGGTCTGGTGTACAACTCAGCAACAGACTGTACATTTGGGTGATCGTGGATCAACAGGGCTGGTCTAATACATGTAGACTACTATGTGTTGGCGTGAAATGGTGTGTTGGAGTGCTGTTGCTGGTGTTGTTGCTGCTGCTGCTGCTGCTGCTACTGCTGATGCTACTGCTAGTGCTAGTGCTACTGATGCTGCTGCTGTTGTTGTTTCAAATCTTTATTCTCACGATAGCCAGTGGCCAGTAAGAGATAATAGTGTGAGAGAGGAGAAAGAGTGAGGGAGAATTGAAGAGAGTACGAGAAGGGATTTCGCGAAGCTCGGCGGGCAAGAAATTAAAGGAATGAAGGGCTTTGGACAGGGGAGAATGGAGACAGCGATCAGTCCGCGGAGTTGGCAAGTGCCAAGTACGAGAGCGACGTAAATTATACGAAGGTTGCACGCTGCTAGCAGTATGCAGCGAGAGTAATATGCGGTGGGGCATAATTGTGGCGCAGAGAATGTGCGAAAAGTACATGTATATGTTTAACTTTAAAGCGTGAAAATAATGTTGGCCATTTGATCCGATGCAAAACGTGGGAGCATACATGTACATGTAGTATAAGTACAGCTGGACAGCGTTTCCCAATATCTTAACTCACTCTACAGAGTTTGGGCAGATTTCAAATCTTTGCCAAATTAAAGACTGAAAATGGCCGGAGAAACGTTCTTTACTGGTATGGAGTCATAATTTCACGACATTCCTGTTTGGCCATTGCTGTTGGAAATGAACAGATCTGGGTAGTGTGGTTTGAACACAAACTTCGTAACTACACGTACCTGATTGTAGTATGTAAGTTTGACGATGACAGTGTGAACAAGGTGGACTACCCACTGTATGGGAAAACACTACTCCAGGCTCACTGCAACCATACACCGGTCGCTATGCCCCTGTTCAGACACTCATTACTCTAAGGGGGGTGGGGGGGGGGGGGGGGGCATTATAGGAATATTCACTGATCTCGTGGTTGAAATGGTCGCAAGACCGAGACTCTACCAACCAGTTTATGGTTTCAGTTATGAACACTGTTTCTCATACAGTAGGTTCTCCGCCTTGTTCACGCTGTCATCGTGAAAACATGTTCAACGTATCAGGAAAGGCTCACATACATAAAGACCATAATTGTAGTACAGTGGTCCCTGAATAATCCCACACCATTTGTGCTACGGAAATTCTGCTGGGTTGGGGAGGGTGCTGGATTAGAAAATCTGATATACTCCTGCAATGTGCATGAAGAGGACATTTTTAGTAACTGAAAATTGTGCTGGTTTATAGAGGGTGCTGGTTTATAGAGGGTGCTGGTTTATAGAGGGTGCTGGGTTATAGAGGGTGCTGGTTTATAGAGGGTGCTGGTTTATAGAGGGTGCTGGTTTATAGAGGGTGCTGGTTTATAAAGTGCTGGATTAAAGTCTAAGAGGAACGACTGTAGTGCTACTGAATACTAACGATTCCCTGCAATGGAGTCAGTGACTCACTGGTTCATTCATTGACACGTCAATGATCTAGATCCTGTCGAAGTTATCAAGGCAATGACATCATGTGTGCGACGAAAACTAATTCAGTTTTTCATAGTTTTTTTTTCGTTGAATGAATGGAATTAATAATTATTTTATGACCGGCTGAAAGTTTGTTGGTCAGTGTATCCAAGACGTGATCGAGGCAAACGTCATGTCGTTGAATTTCAGTATCGTCAGTGAATATTGTGGCAAATGTCACACGTTCTAACCCGACATCATCTTGGCAATAAGTTAGTGGACAACAACGCATACTGCGGTGTAAACCTTTGTTCTTTACTTCTTCTAAGTAATCAGTCTATTCTAATCTTGTCTTCAGATCAGACTGGTAAAGAGCCATGCTTCTCTCACCACCATCGTCTATACTTTACGCACGTCGCCTAGTAGATGCATGGCTGGTGATACTAACATAGCTTCACCCAACTACGACGCCTGGCAGGTTTGAGATTTTTTAGCTCCGTAGTTTTTCGTAGTTTTTCGCAGCCCACCCGGCACTCAGTGAGGCCGGAGTTCAGCTACATCGAGCCACAAGCTACACAATCGACTCTCGTCTGAAATCCTGACTGGTTGTGCATGCTACGGAACACATGCTCTGCAAGCTGAAAGTTTGCTGACTTCCACCAATGTTCTGCGCCAACTGCCTGTACTTGCCATCTTCTTAGATTTGTGTTGGGTTTCAGTTCCCAACATGGCAACACAGGATTGAGTCTTTTTCTTCAGATTCTTTCTTGGCGTTTCGATAATTTTTTTCTATTCATTGACACGTCTATGATCTAGATCCTGTGATTCCTGTCAAAGTTGTGAAAGCAATGACATCATGTGTGCGACGAAAACTTGTTCAGTTTTCACAGTTTTTTCTTTCTTTGAATGAATGGAATTTTATGAACAGCTGGAAGTCTGTTGGTCAGTGTATCCAAGACGTGATCGAGGCAAACGTCAGGTCGTTGAATGTCAGTATCATCAGTGAATATTGTGGAAAATGTTACACGTTCTGACCCTACATCATCTTGGAAATAAGTTAGTGGACAACAACGCATACTGCGGTGTAAAACTTTGGTCCTTTCCTTCTTCTAAGTAATTCTATTCTAATCTTGGCTTTAGATCAGACTGGCAAAGAGCCATGCTTCTCTCACCACCATCATCTATACTTTACGCACGTGGCCTAGTAGATGCATGGCTGATGATACTCACATAGCTGACTGATACCTGTACATCAGTTAGTGTCTGGTGCATAGGCGGACACTCATCCACGACTTGGCTGGTATTGTGACGTAGGTTTCGTGCCTCCAGGACTCATTGCTCACTGTGTGATCAACCATGCGTAAGCTGCACTACAGTGTATCTTTACTAATATAAAGAAGAGGCACCTGTGACGTGTGTGTGTATACAGGTATATGTCACGCTGAAGCGCTGCGGAGCAGCGCTGCCCTGAGCACGCGAAGGGTGCGAACAGTGTAGCACAGTGTAGCTAGCGGCCGCAGAAGCAGTAGGGAGGTTCTGCTATCGTGAAACGTGGAGAAATCACGTAGAGAGCAGGTGTCTGGGTTAGATCATATATAGAGTCTACGGCTTCGCGTGTTTTGGCTCCAGATTTCTACGCGGAGATGGGGTTCTCTACGTTGTGGCACACGCAGAGAAAATGCGTACGGATTTGCTGGGTATCGATCAACTGCACGCAGAAAACTGCTAAATATGGAAGGGGAAATTCCCAGTACACATTCCACGTGACTTCTCTAGGTGAAACGTAGAGCAGAACAGCATTTCTTTACGTTACGGGAACGCGAAGAAAGTTCGCGTGATTCTTTGCGTCGCGTTCCCAAAACGTAGAGCAGAACCTCCCTATACGCCTACTGACTGCACATGTGACTGAGCACGCGAAGCGTGCGAATCGTGTAGCTAGCAGAAGCAGCCACAGAAGCACTGATGAGCTGAGCACGTGAAGCGTTCGAATCGTGTAGCCACCACCAAGTGCTGAGCAGACGAAGCGTGCGAACAGTGTAGGTGGTATAGCAGACACGACTTTTATTTCGCCACCAGTTGTAACCCCGCCTCCAGTAGCCAAATCAGTCAGTTTCACTGGCTACATCACCATGCTGTGGGTAAGACCGCTTGAAATGTGCTTGGATCCATACAAAAACTGGATCCAAGTGGATCCAGTTTTTGAATTTTTGAAATTGTTGCTATGCTGTGACGTAGCACTTTCAAGCCCTGAGAGAGCTGCATGAGGTAGCACTAGCAGCCGGCGCTAGCCGCACAAGCGCTGCGGACCACGTGAACCGTTCTGCATGCAAATAGAAACATCTGCAACAAAAGGATACAAAAGATCTGCACTGACTGCACTCTGCATCTTAGTCCATCGGCCAAGTCTCAAAATCGAAAGTGGTGATGCACTGAGCTTCCAACTAAACGCGACCATACCCAGCACGTAGAGAATACATCAGAGAACACTATTCCGTTTGTTGGACGTGCCGAATTCAGTCCAGGGCGTCGATACGAAGCGATCTTCGTCGCCGAGTTTTTTACTGTGCGCTCCATTTGAGAGTGCGCAGAGTTCTGATCGAGAGTTTTTTGAGCAGACTTTCAAATTTTTGAGGCTGTCAGCTGACAGCTGTCAACCCTAAATGGCACTTAGTATGTGACAGGCAATAGGTTTTGGTGCCTCCGTATGCCTTCTAATAGTTCTATCTTCCTTCGTTTCACTTCGCTGCTTCGCCCACCACCTCAGGAGATGACAGCGTACCTGTACTAGTCCTCCAAAACCAACCGTATTGCTTCCTGATTGCAACAGAACGGGATGAAGAGGTCGGGTAGGCCTGGCGTGACAACCAGAGATCTGCCTTGTCTGCTCCTGTTC